AATTCTTCAAGCAAGTTTCACACTGGAACTGCATTTCTTCACGATGCATTCTTGCTTTCCACTCGGAATGCAACTTACTAGGTTTCTTCTGGGAACCATCACATTGAGATTGCTGATCACTGTCCATACTTGTTGAATTTCCGCCTCTCCTTAGCTTGTTCTTATCGGTTTGTGATGAATTAGTCGACAGATCAGGTTGTACGTCATTTTCGGTTCTGAGCGGTTTCGGCAATTCGTTTTCACTTATTTCATCTCTCTGCAATAATGAAATAAAATGAATATTTTTCCACATTTGAATAAGATCAAAAATTGGAATTTAATGACGTATATTCTTACTGTGGACTCTGCGAATTTCAGTTCAAGTAATAGGCAGAAAGTGAAAGCAACTACGAAGATGCGACTAAACATCTTTTGATGCATCTGAAACCAAAATATCACAGAATTGAAATAAACAATTGCATCATGTTTTTCATATTTTATGCTTCTCAGAAACGATGTTCTAGCCAAACAAATTACGAATTGCAGTGATTCATCGCTCTATTCGGCCTTCAATCTTATTTAAAATGCTAAACCATACACATTTATCCCAACAAGCGTTAAATTTACCCCAACAATTATCCATTTAAAATATACTTCCAAATAATTTTGAGGATTGACGAGAAGTTTTTAAAATATATTAGATCTATTTTGAAAATGAGTACTGTATTGGAAACATTCGTTACATTTCTGCATATATTCATATAATTTGAGTGATAGATTCCACGACTGAATAAAGCTAGAGGTGATAGAGAATTCAAAACCTAATGCTACTCGTAACATAAAGTAAATAAAAGAAACAGAATTAACCTTAAAACATTAAATTAATATTTATTGTACTCAACTTGCCATTTTATAGCACATGTACTGGAATTGAATTTTGATCGGAACTGCCCAAAAGACCAAAGGTTTCAGCTGATTATGCAAATAACGTGACCAAAAAAGACGTCACAACTCTCAAGCTGAAATTTTGAGTAAACAATCACACATTGTATTTTCACGCATTGTTATACCAAAAGCTATTTGATCATTTTTGATGCTTCACTACGGAAAAAAAAAAAACGTTATTCTTTTCCAAGAGCAAAAAAAAGTTATTTTCCGCATTGTTATTCAAAATCCTTTTTCCTTTGTAATAACCCCGTAATGTTTCACGTTTACGATTTTTTTAACAATGCTATTGCAAAGGATTTGTAAACATCCTACTATGTCTGCTGCATTCTTGCAAATATGCCATTTTGAAAAGGATAAATTTATCCTCATCTAAATTTTCATAATCAATTAGCTACTTAACTTACCAAAGCGACTATCACAACATCGCCCGCAATAAAATAATGCTGCTCGTATTTTGTTTGAGCAGTCGTGATTGATTCCATTCTCATGTAACCATATTTTACCAAAATTGTCAGTTTCCCTGCTTTACTGGCGCAAAAAAAAAATTTGCTAAACGCTCTCCACATTACTTGCATAATCAACTAAAACCTTCTGTTTATTGGCATTTTCTGATCAAAATTCAATTCCCGTAGATGTGCTATGAATTGGCAAAGGTCAAATTAAATACAGTAAATTTTCATTTCATGTTTAACGTCAAATGTGTTTTACTTCACTGATTTCATGTCGGCAACAAACTTGGGTCTAAATTTTTCCTCTGACTTCAGCATGATTAAATCGTGAGATTCAGATGCGATGAATGCTTGCAGAAATGCAACAAATATTTCCCATCTTCAAAGCAGATTTAGCAAATTCTTAACCTTCCTTATATATCTCGAAATCTTACAATGATGCCATCAAAAATCATCACAGTTTTAATTTCAGCCGCAATATAAACTAAAGGACATGTCCGAAGCTTCTTTCTTCGTGCACTATAATAATTTTGAATACACTGACAAGTTTTTGCTTTTTGAATCAAATTGAAGAGAGTTGAAGCGTTTAATTATTGTAAGTCAAAATTTGCTCTGCTAAAACATCGCTTCGGAGAAACTATCTTACACAGAGAAGAGACAGCTTTCCGTTCTTGACACATAATAAATCATTGCTAGGCGTTAATGCACAGAAAAGGGATCTATCTTTCTTGCTTTCGAAAAAGCTTGGGGACACAGTGAACAACCCGACATGAGTGAATCACTCATTTATAATAAATTATTGCTACAGGCAGCTCTCCATCTGCTAAAGGAATTGAGGCACACACTAAGACTCAATTCGCTTTCCAAATGCCGCATGAAAAATTCTTACGAAGTTCTTGCAAAGCGTTTGTCTAATTTTGTATTTAAAACGAGCAGAACTATTGTATTTTGATCAAAATGATTGTGACAAAGTGATCATTGTGTGAGGAAATTCAAAATAAAATAAAATATGCTGGGATGCGTTTTCATTTTTTCGACTTGAATTTTTCCGTTCACTTTCCGCTTTGCCTTTCCATTCCATGGGACAAAGATCGCGCAGTTCAGGTAATTAGTAATTCAATTTTTATCGTAGTATTTTGCTAGCAATAAAAAAGATTTATATACATAATTTAATTCAAATATTTTTTATCATCGCAATTGTTGGTTATTATAATGCAATTGAAAAAATGCTTATTTTCACCCCGAATTACATATTTAGTAAACTTTTGCTTGCAATTTTGGAAGTTTCTAATTCACGTGCTAAACTGATAATAATTCAATTCAGAATACATAAAAAGTGCTGTCCATATTAACAGTCTGCACTTGATATATGATCTATTCATTTCACCTAGAATACCACCAATTACTGTCATGAACTAATTACTATTAATTAAATAAAATGAATAAATAAATAAATTAAATAAATAGATGAATAAACAAATAAAAAGATTAGATTAGATTCTAGATTGCACAACTATATTTATTGAAAGCTACAAAATAGGCAAAACGATTTTGTTACAGTGCAGAACCATACCATGATGTAACAATTTCAATCAAACAGTTACAAGACAGTACATGTGCAAGTTATATAAAAATAAATATAAATTAGTGTAATAACTAATTAAAATAATGTAATTGTTACTGAGTTAACTTACTAAAACGTTTATTTGCTATTTTAAATGAGTAAAATCTATCTGTTTATTTGTCAACCATCCTATTATCTATAACCAAATTTGTTATTGTTTCGTTCACAACGAAAAGCACTGAAGTCTAAGTCTCTGTGTATTGTATTATTTGCTAGAATTATTCTCATACATTTTTGCCATTGCTTTTTTGTTTACACTAAAAATATATAATAATTTTCAGCAGAAGGGAAAGAATTTAATGCTTATTTTTTATTGAATAATAAATCAAATGCATGTGATAAACTGACCACTCTTTTAGGAAATGCGATTAAATGCATGAATTGTTACTATAAAAGCGTACAGTTTTAAACAATAATAAGCCTTAAATACTTTTGATATGCAACGTAATAAAAAGGAATGTATTTGAGAAATATCTATCCATTTCATGAGAATTGATTTTTTTTGCATCCATTATGGAGATCAAATTCAATATCAAGCAAATGGCAAAGGATTAAATATTTAGTCTATTTCGACCATCAGTTTTTAGTGTTGGCTATGCAAATTTGAATATGAAGGGATTATTTTCCAGAAAAATATGCAACAATGGGACGTTAACAGGGAAAAGTAATAACTTATCGTGTAACGTAATATTACATCAAAAATAAAAGAAGGAATTACAAAGGAAATACAGGAAATACAAGGAAATAAGGAAAGAAACTACAGGAAATAGAGGAATTACAAGGAAATACATCAAAAAAGGAAATCAGGAAAGGAAATTTAAATATTTTAAGGAATCACATCAAAAAATAAAAGAATTGGAACTTCAAAAATAC